ACACACACACACACACACACACACACACACACACACACACACACACACACACACACACACACAGATGCTCCTTCTTCATAAGGACCCAGATATGTGAAATTTCCATTAAGGGTACATGTGGTGCCTTTGCTGGCCACATGTTGGCTTTGAATGCTGCCAGGGAACAGCTGGGACCTAGTGCAAGAGAGAGTAATGGTAGTCAACCAGTTCCTAAAATAGGCCCTGCAGGTTTCCATTCTAGCCCTTTCCTGTTTATTGCTAATATATGCAACTTCTGAGCCAAGATTTCCAGAAATGATGGCAAACAGAGATCAGTTATAAGAGTTAATTCTTACTAGGAAAGAAACATCTCTATTTTCCAGGAAAAGAGAAAGAGAGTATCCATATGCTAGAGACCATCCCTGGTCAGTTGGGCCCAGGGTTCCCATGGCAAATGCAAACATTCAGCAGTGCTGTCTCTGCAGCACTGCACGCTCCTCCAGGTGGGGCACTGAGGAGCCTGGGGTCTAGCCTTGCCTAAAAACTGGTATGTCTGACCCACCTCCTCTCTTCTAGGGCTTGAGAATAGGGTGAGCTTTGGCTGAGGATTGGGATCAATCTGAGAACTGGGGAAAGGTCCCTGGGTGACTGAGGGCTTCTCACTTGCTAGCCTTCTTGCCTTCTGTCTGGGACTTGCTTTCCGTCTCGGCCTCACTCAGCTCCTCTGTGGGACTCTGTGGTTCAGAGCGAGGAAACGCTGTCTTCAAGGTGTCCACAATGGCACTCACCACCATCTGCAGGAGTCAGAGGTGCAGGGTCAGTAAGACCATCCACATCCACAGACGGAAATCGCCAAACGAGCAGTCGCCCCCCCCCCCGCCCCCCCAGCACTTCATGCAACAGGACAAGGAGAGGGGCCAGGCTGTCTAGCAAAGCCTTATCCAGTAGGAAGGTTGAATACCAGCTAATGACTTAGCGGCAACTATCTTTCCTTTTTTCCACAACCATAAATATCTTTTTCCTTGAGGAGTAAAACAAACAATGCGACGGGAAAAGAAGCCAAAATGAATAATGAGATAAATAAAAACTTAAGAGTTCTGCGGGCTGGTGATGTAGTTTTCAATTTTCTTTTTTATATAAAAAAGTGATTTTATATAAAAAAGTTTCCAAATTGATAACACCTTCATCAAGATGTGCATTAGTGGAAGTACATAGGTACATAGGTAGGACTATAAAGAGAAAGGAAAAGTGAAGTAGATGATCGAAAACAAAAAATACAGTTTAGGGGCACAGGTAATACTAACACGCTTAGAGTAACTTACACAGAGCAAACAATCACTTTTTCTAATCAATTCAAACAACTTCTCTTCTTTACGTACAGAAAGAATAATAAAAATCACTCAGGTCAAAACCAAGGTACCTGCAGTTGATATAAACTTCTCTGGCATAAAGACCAACTAAAACAATCCTCACTGAAGATTAAGAACAAGAACGGGAAAATGACATACAGGTATTTGCTAAAAAGGACAATGTGCAAACAAAACCTTAAACTGTCAAAGTACCAGAATGAAACATTTACTTTTCCTCTGGTGCTTCTTGCTAATTAACACTGCTGGCTCAGAGCAGTACCATGCCTTCTTTAACTAATTCTTGCGGTATTCCTCCATAAGGAGTAAGCTAGCATAGCCAAGTCAAGGCTGAAGTGAGTGGTCAACACACTACAGTGAAGACTGGGGAGAACAAACCAGGGGAATAACACTGAGGATGCATGAATTTAGATAACGCAGCTTAAAAATACAACTTGTTCTCCAGGATCACAGAGCTGTGGCCTGTGAGGGTGGGGAGGTCCTCATCTTCTCATTCACTGTTGTATGGACAGCAACTAGTAGAGTGCCTGGCTCAAAACAGGCAACCAGTAAGTAGATGTGGAAATGGATGAACCATATCTGCATGGAACTCTGGGCATTTACCCAGTTGATCCCTTTTTAGTTTGTTGTTTTTTCTACAGCAGTGGATATCCCCTAACACCTACTACATGAAATTCCATTTTATTTGTTGCTCCAAGCCTAGATGAGAAGAGGGAGGCTCCTCTTCCACCAATGAGTCAGTGTTTCCCAGCCCTACAAAACACATGCCACTTTTGATAAACATAAGCCTCCGACTTCTGCCCCAGAAACGCTTGTATCAGTTGGTAATCACTGCTTACAAGCTCCGACATATTACACAAATGTCTTTCTTCCACCATCTCCATAGGTGCTGAGACAACCTCCTGAAGAAGGTACAAGTTTCTCCATACTGTAAAGGAGAACCATGATACCACTCTAAATCCAGCTTAGTGTCCTGTCTTAGGGCTCTCTTCCTGGGTGACCCAACACTGAAAATGACCTTTATCCTCCAAAAGACCACCGCTCCTGCCAGCTATCTGTGAAGACACAGATCTATCTTTACATGCCTCCAACAGCATAACAATGTAATACCCCCAGGAGATATATGTACACTTAAGAGTGTTGGGATACTGTTTCCCAGCAGCTGTTCCCTGTGATTCAGCAAGCTGATGATTCGACCAATATTTGGCAACAGGTCTTGACAATTCGAGACCATGTTCTATTTACACCTCTGTGCTGCCCCTTCCCACACCCTATTGCTCTTATTTTTCAAGGACTGCCTCCATTCTGATGAATCCTTCCCATTTATAGATAGAAACTAAAGCTGAGCACAGTGGCCCTGTTGGTACCTTGTCTATTCTAGAGACCATAAATGGTTTCTTGACAAAGGCAATACGAGCATCTGTGTTCAGAGCAAGGAACTCCTGCACCTCCTCACTGTTAGCGATCTCCGGAATGGCACAGAGTTGCTGCAAAGGTAAAACACACAAAAGAATTTTAAAGAGAGATTCCAGTCCCCAGATCTCTCCACCTTGGCTTTGGTGTTCTGGGGTTAGACACCCAGGTTAAAATGAGAACAAGGCCAAAAGAGAAGAATGCTGACCTTTAGGAATGATTCTAGGAGGCTCTTACGGGCTTCTACTCTGTCACTGTCCATGTTTCCAAATGGAAGATCTGGAAAGAGCTTTTTAGGACCCTTCACATCTGCAAAAAAGCCCAAAATATTCACTCATTTAACATTCAGAGAGCTATTACATAAAAAAATGCATAAAGAAAATATTGAATATATTTCCTTGGTTTAAAAAAAATTTCAGGAGTTCCAAATATACATATAATCCATATGATCCATACAAGACTCCAGTGGTTACAAGTGAGGGCTCTAAAGTCCAGTAACCCAAGTTTAAATCTGGGCTCAGCTCCCTACTTTAACAATGATCTATGGCAATTCGTGTTATCTTTCTGACTTTGTTTCTCTTCTATTAGATGAGGATAATGGGAGTACCTATCTCATAGGCTGAGGGGGCATCAAAAGAGCTAACATGTGTGAAGTGCTTAGAAGAGAACCTGGCACGTATTTTCAAGGTTGGCTCAGTGTTAGCTATTAAGAAAGAAAATGTATAATTTATGCCCAAACTTATTAAACTGTTTATTTTGGCAATCATCGCCATTTTTAAAAAACAAAGTAACCAGTTACTAGCTCATTCTTAGAGTGAAACTTTATTACATTAAAAAAAAAAAAAAAAGATTCCCCTGCCTGAGAGTTGTCAAACAGCACACAAAAGATCTGGTTGTTAAATGAAAGAAGGTGGCAACAACTTCTGGGTAATATTTTATATGAAGAACCACCAATCTATGAATCTGAAAAAGTTAATTTAACTCCTCACACTAACAGGCACAGGTGGAAACGTGAACACTTCTTTTTTAATCTTAAACTAGCTGAGGCTGCAGACAAAGCATTTGGCAGTAAAGGACTAACTCTGAAAGAATGTGATTGCTGCTGTGTCCAGCACTAAACCTCAAAACTCCTGAAGTAAACCCAGGGAGCAGAGAACCTTGAAACTGCATTCTCCTCCCTTAACCCTCCCATAAACCAACAGGCCAATCAGGGTGGCTCGACGTGGGAAGCAAGCAGGGAAAACTCATGACTTTTGATGAACTTGCGTAGATCTGGTTTCTCCTCCAGACGGGTCTGCAGGTTCAAGAACTCCCGATAGCGGCGATTCACAGTGTGGTAGGCCAGCTGCTGCAGGCCGCTGCTGTTCTCACCGTCAAGGGCTGTCTCGTACTGTTCAGTGAACAAATTGATTGACTGAATCAGCCAGGTTTCAGCAATCTTCTATTCTGGCTGTACTAATTGTTCAATGGCCACATAGTAAGAGTAAGACACTTAGAACAAAGGGAGGGAGATGCTCCTATTCTGTTCCAGAACCTCCTGTATCTAGTTGCTCAAAAAGTCAGAAATGAGTTCCACTGCTCCATACTACCACTTTCATCTGAAAGCTCCCTCTCCCAGATACTTTATTTACTTACAAAAATGGCTACGTAACTATTTTTCAAATGCATATTTGAATAGAAGGCATAATATCCATAAAAATGATACTTCCTATATCACCTCTAAATTATAGGGCTAAACATTATAAGGTGAAAACCATTTTGCCATATGCTCCCATGATTATTTATACTAGTTAAAGGGAGAACAAATAATCCAAACAGCAGATAAAAATCATTTGTTTACCTGGAATAAACTAAAGGGTATTTTTGTCAGGCAGATTAATTTTCTTAATTGTTATTCTTAGAGCTGAACTGAATTTTTTCTCTAAGTACCTATCACCTATATCATCAGAAGTCACATGAAAAATGGAGATGCTATAAGGAGTCAAAGTCCACTGTCTTCATAAGCTCAGAGGGCTGGTATGTGGAAAAGATGACTTATACCTCATGTTCCCCAAAGAGTGAACACCACGGATAGCATGGAAACTGCAACTCAGCGAGGGGGCACACTTTTTGACAGAGTAGTTAAGACACAATGAAATGCCGTGGGAGAAGTATACATGTGCACCTTCGCATTAGGAATAGGTTATTATTTTTTTGTTGAGGTATACTGTGGGCAAGGGATGGAAAATACTACCTCCTTGTTGGTGGGACTAGTGACTGGTGCTTTACAATTTTTTGGAGAAAGATAAGGTATTCATTATGAGCTGATGTGAGCAAAGTAATCCCTCAGAACAGTACTGAGAAGACCAGGTAAGAGAGACAGGTGGAATTCAGGGTGGGGCTCTCAATGGCCACATAGTAAGTGTAAGAAACTAAGAACAAAGGGAGGGAGCATTTGGGAACAATGAGAGTTTCTGTGGAATATGCTGCTCCTTGAGAGCCAATTTTCAATACTGTTGTGGTTCCTTTCATCATATACACTGAAAATTATACCATATTATTATACCATCAGAAAGTATAATAATATTAGTATACAACTTAAAATCAGTTCTATGTCCATATAAAAATCTAAACCCAATTTCAAACTACTCCTAATTGGCTATATTATTTTGTTCTCATTTTTTACTTTACCCTTTTCTATTGAATATTGAACTATTGATATTCAAGTAGCAGATGTCAAAATCTAGCAGCAACAAAAAAGAATAAATAATGGGAGAAAGACTGAACTTAAAAATTCTATCCATCAACTTAATTTTTCTGCTAATGAGGAGAAAAAAAACCCTGCTGTTCAGTATCAGTGTTGGAATAGTCATTAAAATAAGATGAAATAACCAGAACCCACACTTAAATGTGAGAAAGGTGCATGGCCTAGAGACACCCAGAATTTGAACAAAAAGGCAGGCAAAATGTTAACAAAGTCATACCAGTCCTTTGAGGCTACTCTCAGTTATTTTATGACCGGACATCTGCACTTTTACAACTTGCCTATAAGGAACGTATGTGTGAGTGTGTGTGTGTCTTCACACATATACAATTCTAATTACTTCCATTCTGTCTTACTTGAAAATGTCATAATGTTGAATCCTCCTTAGAAATTCTCAGATGGAAGACATCAGAGTCTGCCAGAATCTGTACATATGAAAAGCAGCTCAGGTGATTTTGAGGTACAGCCAAGTTTGGGAACCACTGAAAATATAACCCTCAGTATTCTAGCAGCCGTAAAGTTCCAGGATTGTTTGTGTGAGTACAGAATAAATGCTACTTTGCCTTACACATTAGCTTCAGACCATTCACAGAGATAGATGCCTACTGAAAGAAACACTTCAAACTAAGCGCATCCCTTCCCCAAGAACATTTGCTTCACTGATCGCTTTCCAAACCTACTCCTAGCCCAGATGAGCACCCCCGGCTTTAATCCTGTTACCTTCACAGTATAGAGTGTGTATGGGTGGAATCCGGTACCGCTGTGCTCTCGGGCTGTAATAGTGCCAGTGATACGAAGGTTCTGGATGACAACTGGGCCATCTGGACTGCTTAAGGGCTCAAAGCTGAAGGTGGCTGAGCTGAGAGGACCAGGTGGAGAGGAGGAAAGCAGAACTGGTGGCAGACTAGGATCAAGGGAGCCCATGTCACTGGTGAGATCCTTCTCTAAGCATGAGGGCCGTGAGAGGCAGGTCTTTTCTGGCCCCTCCAGCAAAGCTGTAACAGAGGTGGTAACATCTCCTTGTTCTATCTCTTTGTCTGCTGTGTCAATCTGGATCTCTGGGCAGGGGTTCAGTGTGGAGACTTGCAGGCCTGTCTCTGTTTCTGTCACTGGACCCTCCTCAGCCTCTGCTCCTTCAGACCCCTCACCATCTTTGGGTTCCAGAGCCCTTGAACCCTCTAGGGCACACAGGGCATCCTGAATCCTGTCAGAGAGAAAGCTGCCTGGAGTCATGAGCATGATGGTTTCTTTGCCCAGTTCAGACAGCGGAGACTCCAGCTCTGAGTCTTCACATAAGAACAGGGGGCCCCGAATGTTCGGCTGTAGGAAATGAGATGAGTTGTTTCCTACTTTTCTTTCTTCAGACATTCCACCCAAATCTCCCTCTACAGCTTCATGACCTTCTTCAACCTCTGGGGAGGGGCCTGCAGGACCCTCCAGCTCAGAGTAACTTAGGAACACTGGGGCTGCTACTGGAGAAGGGGCTCTCCCTTCCGGAAGCTGTTCTACCTCAGTGATCAGTGGCAAAGAGGTGGGTACTGAAGGCTGTTCGGGGGTGCTGGCTGGGCAGAGTGCTGGATCTCTGGTCTTGGAAAAGATACCCACAAGTACAAGGTGAATCCAGTCAGGATCTGACAGCCTGCTGATCAGTGGTAAGATTACATTGCACGTGATGAGTTCGACCACTACATGGCGTCCGGTACGGGTCTCCAAGTGGGGCTTGGGCACCAGCCCTTGAAGCAACAAACTGACAACGCCACGTGTATAGGTGACTTCAGCACTGGGGCTGTGCACAGCAGGATGTGGGGTAGTAGCCCGGCAGTAAGCCTCCCAGAGGTGGGAAGGCTCAACTGGACCACTCTTCCCTGCAGTGGCCTCCTTTGCCTGAATGTAGCTCTGCAGGTGACAACCGCAGAGAGTCAGAACACTCTGGGCAAGAGCACGAGTGTCCATCATGCTCATCCTCCTCCGAAGCTCCTGGACCAATCCTTTCATAGCTGCCTCCATTTCCTCCTCAAAGGCTGGCTCCTGGCTCACGGAACGGTACCAGGATAACACAAAATCTCGAATAATCATCTGGATGGTGCGGTTGATCTCCTGTTCCAACTGCCTTTCTGCCTCAGGGCATGGAGGACAGGTGGCCACTGGAAAGAAGCGTTCCAGGTGCAGTCGACCTGAAGCCGCTCCAGTGGCGCTGGAGCCCAGCCATCCTCCCAGTACCACTAGCAATGCAGACAGAAGGCACAGCAGCCACACGTTGACCAGAAGGTGTATGACCAGGAGCCAGCCAAGCAAGACCCCCATAGCCATCAGCTTCCGGCTACTCAACAGGTTACTGAGGTGACAGCTGGTTCCAGCTGGAGTCTCCTGGAACGGTGGCACTGTTTCTGTATTCATGGCTGAACGGACAAGGTGGCTTCCCCAGATGACAGCCAAGATTCTACCTCAGAGTCTGGAAGGGGGGCATGAACTGTGTCTCAGATACGGCGCGATCTGGGTGCTGCTCAGGGAACGGGGGCTCCGAGCCCTCCAAGGCCTACAGGCACTGCAAAGCGACAGCGGCAGCTCCGCGTCTACCCAAGGCTACCACTAACAGAGCCCTCGAACTCGCCCCTTCCAGCCGAGGTGTGGCTTTGGAGGAAACCTTTGCGGCCCTCATACTGCCCCACGCGGAAAGCCTCTTCGCGGGCTCGGGGCGGGCGGGGCAGGGCCCTGGGGCCCACGAACACTTACACAGACGGCGGCGGCCGGCCGGGACTGGGTCACACGCCACCGGGAACCGCGCGCCCACACTCAGCCCCGACCCGAAATGGGCTCATCGGGGTCCTCTCCGCTGGCCTCGGCCCGCCGCCGCCGCAAACCCCGGCGACGGCGCTCCGCAACCCAGCCAGCGTTAGGGCTGCCGGCCGGCCGCCGGCGACAGCTTCCGGGTCGACGTCGACGGGAGCGAGGCATGCTGGGAGGACGGCCGCGCGCGTCCCGAGGAGCGGTGCTGCCCGGCGCCCTCTGCTGGCGAGGAGCCGGCCTGACGGCAGCAGCGCGCGGTGGTCTCCGAGCCTGAGCCTGAACGCGCACAGGGCGCGTGCTCGCCGAGGGCGGGCGCAGCTCCCCGAAGTGCTGGGAAACACAGCCGCCAGCAGCAGTCACCGCAGAGACCCGTCCTTCCAGACGCCTTAAAACGCATCCCAGTTCTGGTTATTAAATGAAGCCTGTTTCTTACTGCTTAGGCACGCTGTCAATAATCCGGTTTATTTCAATCCCGTGGAGGCGTAGTTTCATTGGCCTGATATGCCTTGACATTCACCCCTTTTCCCCTGGAGCCCATATGGCGCGTCCCCAGTACACAGCCTACCTCATGTGTTGTCAGGAATTGCAAAATATAAGGCATAAAACAATACAGAGGTAGATTTATGTTTCAAATTTTACATACTGTACCACAAAATCACATTTGCTGGTGGCTTTATGGAAACGATCAAATATTTTGGGCATCTGCTATCTTCAATGTGAGAGGCAGGGTGGACGGATAGAAGCAGACCTCGTCCTCCAGGACCTCATGCGAACTGGGGAGGCCAGCGCTTTGAACGCCATTGACTCTCTAATAATGCCAGTCAGCGCGTGATATAGTACAAGACAAAATCTTATAGGAATTCAGGGGGAGGGAAGATCACGGTGGGTTGCAACGGTTAAGGAGAGGCTCACAGAGATGGTGCCTTTATGCTGAGTCTTCAAGGATGAGGGTTTCTAGTCACCTCCATGTCGTCTTGCCTTATCCTCCCCAAAAACGTAGGAAGGGAAGGCAGAGGTAGAGGTGTCCTTTCAGATAACCCTGTAATATATTTGCTTTGGAATATGCTCTATGTTGGATTGTTTTTGGTTTTAGCAAGTTTGACTTCACTTGTCTACGCAGGAACCTATAGGAAGACAAAATATCGGAAGCACTGACCAGGTGCAAAAAGTGTTGCTGTCAGTTTTGTGTGAAGCCAGCATCCATATCCACCTTGGGCCCTAGGAGCTGTGCCTGCAGTGTGGCTCTCCTTTTCACTTTGGCTGAGGATGTGCATCATTTGCACAGAGCTGTTCATGGTTGCCCTTCATCCACCTTCTCTGTGCTGTAAGCAGTCTTTCATCATCATGGACTACTCCCTAGATGTTTAAAGGAATCTTCAAACAAATCCCAACCCAAAACTGCCAACAAGAAGTGCATTGCAGCTTTCCCTCGCATCCATTGCTACTGTTAAGGCAGAGACTTCCTTTGAATACAAAAGAAGACATCTTTTAGATGTGACCCATAGTTTATGATTAATCACTTCTAAAGCAAATGGTTTGATTTAGGTTCAGTGTCGACTAAGCAGACTGGGCACTCCCCTGAGACGGCAGAACGTGAGTCCGTGTTTTCATGGTCTATACCTTTTCATGCTGCCTGCCTTCCCACTGAAAAGGAACCTGAGAAGTGGGTTCTTCCCCTCTCTACCTTCCCAGATCATTCTAATGTGCCCAGGACGACTTAGAAAATGGCAACAATGCTTTGGAGAAATATCCTTGCCACCTAGTTGGGAGCTAAAACAGAAATGTGAATGATGAAAGGACTACCAGTGGTTAGTCCTGAAGACTTCCTGTGGCAGTTCAAAGAGAAAGTTTACTTGGCAGCATAATCTGTAGTGTTCAGGACAGTAAGGAAGTGACCTTGCAAGTGGGCGCTATGCCACCTGACCAGATGGTCTGGAGCATCAAGGTAGCCAAGAGTGCCTTCCTGATTCTGAAGCGGGTTTGATGGACAGGCCTATGCACTTGTCATTTGGATGAGTGTGAGCTCCTGCCTGGGGTTCTGGGCAAGCCTTGGTCTCTAAACAGATTAATCACCGGGAGGAGGTGAGAGTCAGGACTGATGTGCCCTGGTGTGTGTTTGTGGAGTGGGGAGGCTTGGCCACACCACTCACCATCTGGAGACGTCCTTCCTTCTTTCTTTTTTCTCATTTCTCAAAACATTAAAGGCATAGTGCTAGAGTGCTAGGGCAAACAAGACAAATAAGATACAATAATTCTTCTCAAGGGACTCTCAGTCTAGTTAAAGGAGAGACACATAAATAGATAAATGTAATGAAACATGATCGTGTCTATAATGTGATGTGTTGTAATGGAAGTGCATACAATAGAATCAGAACACAAAGGAGGTGGTCAGCTGTGGAAGGGGGCGGTTCGTAGTTTTCCCTTAAGTTGGGAAATGAAAAAGAAGTGAATGAATTTTAGGAAATGTAGGGTAGCGAGAGCAAAGGAAAGAGAGGGAAGGCCTTTCAGGCAGAGGCCCACTTGTGGGAAATAGGCAGGGACCATCAGCGCAAGGGGCCCACAAGATAGGGCCTGCTGGAGCCAGCCCACACCCCACTTCAATTTTCTCCCAAAAGAGAAGACCAGGTGGCTTCCTAAAAAGAAGCTCATCGATGGGGCAGGTGAGTGAGAAGAGGTGATGGTATGGAGTTATTGCTGTGGGGTATAAAAAGGGAGCCATTGAGAGTCAGGTAAAATGATAAAGCAGGGGCCAAGCATGGTGGCTCACACCTGTAATCCCAGCACTTTGGGAGGCTGAGGCTGAGGTGGGTGGATCACAAGATCAGGAGTTCAGGACCAGCCTGGCCAACATGGTGAGACCAAGCCTCTACTAAAATACAAAAATCAGCTGGATGTGGTTGTGGGTGCCTGTAATCCCAGCTACTCAGGAGGCTGAGGCAGGAGAATCGCTTGAACCTGGGAGGCAGAGGTGAGGTGGCAGTGAGCCGAGATCACACCACTGCATTCCAGCCTGGGCAACAGAACAAGACTCCATCTAAAAAAAATAATAATAATAATTAGCTGAGTGTGGCAGTGTGTGCCTGTAATCTCAGCTATTTGGGAAGCTGAGGCAGGAGAATTGCATTCATCTGGGAGGTGGAGGTTGCAGTGAGCTGAGATCACATCATTGCACTCCAGCCCAGGTGACAGTATGAGAATCCATCTTGAAAAAAAAAAAAAATAAAAGAAAAATAAAAAGATGATAAAGTGGGACTGAGGGCCTAGCTGCACTTACAGATCAGAAATTTGTAGTGGCACCAATACATATGGCTGAGTTATTTTCTCCCAAGGTGTTTAGTATTGTATTAGTCCATTTTCATGCTGCTGATAAAGACATACTCAAGACTGATTCTTTACAAAAGAAAGAGGTTTAATTGGACTTATAGTTCCACATGGCTGGAGAAGCTTCATAATCGTGGCAGAAGGAAAAGAAGAGCAAGTCACATCTTACATGGATGGAAGCAGGGAAAAAGAGAAATGAACTTGTGCAGATCTCTTCTTAATAAAATCAACAGATCTCATGAGACTGATTCACTATCACGAGAACACAATGGGAAAGACTTGCCCCCATGATCCAATTACCTCCCACTGGGTTCCTCCCATGACATGTGGGAACTGTAGGAGTTACAACTCATAATGAGATTTGGGGGAGACACAGAGCCAAATCATATCATTCCACCCCAGCCTCTCCCAAATTTTATATCCTCACATTTCAAAATCAATCATTCCTTCCCAACAGTCTACCAAAGTCTTAACTCATCTCAGCATTAATTCAAAAGTCCACAGTCCAAAGTCTCATCCAGGACAAGGCAAGTCCCTTCAGCTTATGTGCTTGCAAAATCAAAAGCAAGTTAGTTACTTCCTAGATACAATGGGAGTTTAGGCATTTGGTAAATACAGCCATTCCAAATGGGATGGGTAAATACAACCATTCCAAATGGGAGAAATTGGCCAAAAGAAAGGGGCTATAGGCCCCGTGAAAGTCCAAAATCCAGTGGGTCAGTCAAATCTTAACACTCCAGAATTGATTCAAGAAGTGGGTGCTCCCATGGAATATTATGCAGCCATCAAAAACGATGAGTTCGTGTCCTTTGTAGGGACGTGGATGAACCTGGAAACCATCATTCTCAGCAAACTGACACAAGAGCAGAAAATCAAACACCGTATGTTCTCACTCATAGGCGGGTGTTGAACAATGAGAACACATGGACACAGGGAGGGGAGCACTACACACTGGGGTCTGTTGGGGGGAAATAGGGGAGGGACAGCGGGGGGTGGGGAGTTGGGGAGAGACAGCATGGGGAGAAATGCCAGATATAGGTGATGGGGAGGAAGGCAGCACATCACACTGCCACATGTGTACCTATGCAACAATCTTGCATGTTCTCCACATGTACCACAAAACCTAAAATGCAATTAAAAAAAAAAGAAGTGGGTGCTCATGGTCTCGGGCAGCTCCAGCCCTGTGGCTTTGCAGGGTAGAACCTCTCTCCCAGCTGCTTTGATAAGCTGGCGTTGAGTGTCTGGGTTTTGAAGGTGAATGGTGCAAGTTGTTGGTCAATCTACCATTCTGGGGTCTGGAGGACAGTGGCCCTCTTCTCACAGATCCTCTAGGAGGTGCCCCAGTAGAGACTCTGTGTGGGGGCTTTCACCCCACATTTCCCTTCCTCACTCCCCTTAGGAGAGGTTCTCCATGAGGGCCATGGCCCTGAAGCAAACTTCTGCCATTGCAACTAGGTGTTTTCGTACATCCTCTGAAATCTAGGTGGAGTTTTCCAAACCACAGTTCTTGACTTTTGTGCAACTTGCAGGCTCAACACCATGTGGAAGCTGCCAAGGCTTGAGGCTTGCACCCTCTGAAGACACAGCCCAAGCTCTGTGTTGGCCTCTTTCAGGCATGGCTAGAGCAGCTGGGTTGCAGGCTGCCAAGTCCCTCCACTACCCACAGCACGAGGCCCCTGGGCCCAGCCCATGGAATCATATTTTCCTCCTAGGCCTCTAGGCCTGTAGGCCTGTGATGGGAGAGGCTACCACAAAGGTCTGTGACAGGCCCTGGAGACGTTTTCCCCATTGTCTTGGGGATGAACACCCGGCTCCTTGATACTTAATGCAAATTTCTGCACCTGGCT